TACTACAATGCGAAGGATTTTATGCTTTCTACCTAAGATAAGGAACAAGGCAAGGATTACCAGTTTTATTTAACAATGTATAGAAGTGCCTCAGAGAAGGCAATGGCAACCCACTCCAGTACTCTTGCCTGGAAACTCCCATGGACAGAGGAGCCTGGTAGGCTGCAGTCCATGGGGTCGCTAAGATTCAGACACGACTGAGCGACTTCACTTTCGCTTTTCACTTTCATGCATTGGAGAAGGACAGAGCAACCCACTCCAGTGTTCTTGCCTGGAGGATCCCAGGGACAGGGGAACCTGGTGGGCCCCCGTGTATGAGGTCTCACAGAGTCGGACACGGCTGAAGTGACTTAGCAGCAGCAGCAGCAGAAGTGCCTAGTCAATGGAGCAAAGCAAGAGGAAAAAAGCATACAGATTATAAAGAAGGAGTAACACTATATGTGCAAATGATATTGTATAGAAAAACCCAAGGAACCCACAAAAAAGCTATTAGGTAATAAGTGAGTTTAGCAAGGTTGCAGGATACAATATACAAAAGTCAACTGTATTTCTATTTACTAGCAACTAACATTTAGAAAGTAAATTATAAAACAATTTCATTTACAGTAGATAAATACACTAAGGAATAAATTTAGCAAGAGATATGTAAGACCTGTTGGCTGAAAACTATAAAACTATGGGAAATTCAAGAAAATCTACATGAATAGAGAGCTGTTATCATGTCCATGGATCAGAAGTCTCAAAACTGTTAAACTGGGAATCCCCGTTTGAATTAGTCAATAGAATCCCTGTAGAAATCCAAAAGGGTTTTTAAAAAAGAAATTTTAAAAAATAAATACAAAGAAAGAAATTTATAATTTTATTTTAAAATTTATACAGTAAGACACAGGACCTAGAGTAGTCAAAACTATTTTGAAAATTGAGAACAGTGTTGGAGCACTGACATTACCTGGTTTCAAGAACAGTGTGTGACTCGTAAGCAATAAATCCAGTTTTATCCTGTGGCTTATAAACTGGTATTTAAATAATTTCCAAAACAGGGAGGATGGTACAGCTCTAAGATAAGCAGGTAGCTTCCCAACTTGTCTACTTTGAAGGGTATTCATTTGGCATGATTACTGGAGTTGGAGGGGCACATACATGTGAAACATAAGCTTTGTAATCAAGACAGAACTGGGTTTAAATATTGGATATTTTATTATTGGATATATTGAATATCCAATAGTCCAATATTTTAGTATTTAATGCCCATTGAATATTGGGCATTTAAATATTGAGTAGTTAAATATTGGACTTACCTCTCTACTTGTCAGTTTCTTCAGCTTGAAGTGGGGTGCACAGTGTAAAATTTAAGGAAATACAGCATAGAAGCTAAGCTCTGTGATAGCTCTGGACCTAGCCTACCTGGGTTAGAACCTGGGCTCTGCGATTATTTATTCACTTACTTATTGCTGTGCTGGATTCTCACTGCTGTGAGACGGCTTTCTCTAGTTGCGGTGCGAGGCCTTCTCATTTGTGATGGCTTCTCTTGTCTCAGAGCAAAGGCTCTGGGGCGTGTGGGCCTCAGTCTTTGCAGCTTTCGGCTCAGTAGTTGTGGAGCACATGCTTAGTCACTTCGTGGGATGTGAGATCGTCCCAGACCAGGGATCAAACTTATGTCCCCTGCGTTGTGAGGTGGATTCTTAACCACTGGACCACCAGGGAAGTCCTGCTATTATTTCTTACTGAGTGGACTTAAGTGTATTTAATCCTTCTGTGCTTCACTTTACTCTTTGTAAATTGAGCATACTAAAAGTACCTACCCAAAATGTCTCGATGTACTAAATGAGTTAATAAATCTAATGCACTGAGAACAGAATCAGGCATATAAAGTGTTCAACAGATATTACCTACTGTGATCTTTCCCCAGTACTCTGAGGACTAACTGGTTACTTTTGTCAACCATCAAGCACAGGGTATTCTGGTACCCAAAGAGCATTAGCTCCCATCCCTCCTCTGAGCAAAAGTCACCTTCTGGGGGTAGGATTGATAACTGAAGGATGTCTTTTGCCATCTCGGGGGAAATCTTGAATTTCAGTTTGTTAAATCTTCTATTTTTACTCTTTTTTCAATGTTTAAAAAATGCCTTACTAACAGAATTACAAAGCACAAAGGGAAACCCTAACACTGGGTATCAGACACTACCCCTCCTGGTCCCCATCAGGCCTTTTCTCTGAAAAGCCCTCATTCTGTTTATTTCCCCAAAACACGAATTCCCTTTACTAACAGACTCACAGACTTAGAGAATAAACTTATGGTTGCCCAGGAGAAGGATGGGGGGAAGGAAAGTTACAGATGTTTGGAACTGACATGTACACATGACTATATTTAAAATGGATACCCAAGGACCTACTGTAGAGTAGAGGGAACTCTGCTCAGTGTGATGAGGCAGCCTGGGTGGGAGGGGAGGTTGGGGGGAATGGATACATGGATATGTACAGCTGAGCTCCTCTGCCGTGCACCTGAAACTCTCACAACATTGTTAATCAGCTATATTCCAATATAAAATAAAAAGTTAAAAAAAAAAAGAAAAGAATTCCCTTCACTGACTTCACTGATGACCCGTCTCTGGATAAGCCAGGGCAGTAAGAGCAGTAAGCACAAGCATCTCAGTAGAGATGCCCTTTGCACCCCAGTGGGACTACCTTTCACATTCTTGTGCAGACTCCTTTTCTCCTTCATTCTCTCTCTTTCTGTGCACCGCACTAGGATATAGGCTTCCTTTCTTTTCCTTTCAACCATTTTAGTGATGCTACCCTCTGCTTTTCTGCGGAAATAGTGAGAAAACTCCTCCCAACAGCCCATCTTGTCTACTGGGGGTGGGGGAGGGGGAGAAAACTTTCCCATCCCCCTTTTCCTTCTCTCCTGGCTTCCCCTCCCATTTCCCCCTTGGAATGACCCACCTTTCTCCCTGGGAGGGGCTGAACGGTTCCTCGGGGAGGGGCCAGAGCTCTGACAGGGTTGTTTGCCTTCTCAATGACACTTCGATGATCACATTGCTTTAGTATTCCAGACAGAATGCGGGGAGAATTCGAACTTCGAAAAAAAATCATCTGCCAAGAGTCAACTTTTCTTCAGCTCTATGAAATCCTCCCCCACAAAACCTCATTGCCCCAGTCTCACTCTACTGGTGTACTAATTAACGTTTCTTTTCCCAGCCCCCAATATTCTACTTCTTTATGTCTGTCTACAATGCAGCAGCATCCTGAACGCTGGGGACTCTCCGGCTATAGGAGGGTAAAGATAATGTATAAACAGGAAGTCAACATTTGACATAAAAAAAAGAGAGAGTCATTGTAAATATAGGAGGGGTTTCCCATCCTTTGTGGAAACGTGAATATGTAACTGCATACATCTGTCCTGCCTGTAGCTTCCACTCAAGGAGGAAGTTAACATTCAGCACCAGTCTGTCTGCTTAACCACAGGTTCATTCATTCATTTGGCAAATATTTGTTATACATAAGCCAGGGTACAGGCATTGTGCCAGGCAGTAAGCTTGGATACAGAGATAAGGAAGTTTTCTTGCCCTTAAAGAACAGAAAGACAAATAAATGAAGAGATAGTTGCAAAATAAGATCGGTAGGTGCTATGCTGGAGGAATTAACAAGTGATATGGGAGCAGGGTGATAACATATGTAGGAAGGATGCATTTATCAGCAATTATGGGTATCTACTAGGTGCCAAAAAATTGATGCTTTTGAACTGTGGTGTTGGAGAAGACTCTTGAGAGTCCCTTGGACTGCAAGGTGATCCAACCAGTCCATCCTAAAGGAGATCAGTCCTGGGTGTTCATTGGAAGGACTGATGCTGAAGCTGAAACTCCAATACTTTGGCCATCTAATGCGAAGAGCTGACTCATTGGAAAAGACCCTGATGCTGGGAAAGATTGAAGGCAGGAAGAGAAGGGGACAACAAAGGATGAGATGGCTGGATGGCATCACCGACTCGATGGGCATGAGTTTGAGTAAACTCCGGGAGTTGGTGATGGACAGGGAGGCCTGGCATGCTGCGATTCATGGGGTCGCAAAGAGTTGGACACGACTGGAGTGGGTTGCCATTCCCTCCTCCAGTGGGTCTACCCAACCCAGGGATTGAACCTGGGTCTCCTGCATTGCACGCAGATTCTTTAACCATCTGAGCTACCAGGGAAGTCCTGTAAGGAGTATGAGTAGGTACATGACAGGGGTGATGGGAGGGACAGGATCTTATTTCCAATACAAGAGTTCGGAAGAGAATTCATTCATTGGTTGTCAGAACCGGAAGGGACATTAAGAGGTCAAGAATGATCATAGCCCTCTTATTTTACAAAAGAAAAGAAAGCAAGACTCGAGGAGGGCGCAGGAACTTGTCCCGAGTTTTTGGGGTCACGAACAGGTCCCCTCCGTTTTCTACACGACTCTGTGCAGGCCTCTGTGCCGGACGAGCGTCTAGGGGAGGCCGCTCGGCGGGGAAGGCGGCCCGGGTCTGGGGTGCGGGCGTACACCGCCCCCTCCCGGGGCTTCTCCGCACGGCCGCCCCGCGGGGCCCCCTCCCAGCTGCGCCGCTAGCAGCCGCGCGCGGGGGCTCCCCGGGGGCCGGCCCGCGGCCGGGGCGAACTGGGAGCGCGACGGCCGCCGGGCCCTCCCGCCCCAGTCCACCTGTCGCCCTCCGCCGCCCTGGGGGGGGCTCCCTGGCTCCGTGACCCGCGCGTTCACCCTCGCCCGGGCGGGATCTCCGGGCGGGGGTCCCCGGGCCGCCGGGCGGGCCGAGCCCTGCGATTGGCGGAGAAGTCGCAGCGTCTCCAGCAACGCCCTTTCGCCGGCGCTCCCGGCGGCCGGGACCCTGTCCCCGGCACCCCCGCCCACCCCGCGGCCCCACCCTTCCTCCGGCGCCCGCCTCCTCCTCCCGGCGGGGTCCGGGCCGGGCCGGCGCGCCGCGGAGCAACCACCGGCGGGCGCAGCCGGGGCCCCGCGCTCAGAGCCATGGGAGGCGCCCACTCTCAGAGCCCGAGGGGCCGGGAGCCGACCGCGGAGAGGTCCCCGAGACCCCGAGAGACCGCGTGAGTCCCAGCACCCCCACTCCCGCCCCCCAGACCCCAGGGGCCGCTGTTCGGGGCTTTGCCTGCCGGCCCGGGATGGGAGCGCACGGCGCCCGTCCCACCCGGGCTGGGAAAGTGGGGACTCCCGCGCGCGCCTGCGGGGCTCAGGGGTGGGCCTGGTGGGACATCCCGCCCCGAGCCTCACCTTGCGAGGCCCGGGGGACGCACGACCACGACCCCACGGGGACAGTATCGCCTCCAGGCGGGTTGCTGACCCGCGCCCGTCCTTGCTGCGCCCGGAGAGGGGAGGGGGCGGGGATGAGAGGACCCCGAAGTTTTCCAGACTCGTCCAAGCAGGAACACACACGTGTCCTCAAGGGCTCAGAAACACCCCGGAGACGGAGCCAGTTGCTGCAGGAGAAGAGATTAGAAAGGGACTCGAGTCGCAAAAATAACTGGCTCGTGTTGGCCTTCAGGGTTCAGGAACTTGACGCCGTGCTCGTTGTTCGCAAGAACTCCCTCTTGTTTGCTCCGAGGGCTTCATGATGATCTCAGAGAAAGGACTGTATTGTAGCGGCAGCAATTAGGCTTTTGTTCTGGGACAGCAACAACTGGGGACACCGAGTACCGAAATGCAAGTTTCGAAGGGACGTTTTTAGGAACGTGATTTAGAGCAAGTTGCTGGGGTTTGAAAGATGGCCTTGCTGTCTTATCGCAGAGAGGATACGTTGATGATAACTATTTATCTGAGAACCCAAACCATCTTTAAGCGTTTAATTAAAAATGTTTAAAGTGTGTGTGTGTGTGTGTGTGTGTGTGTGTGTGTGTGTGTGTGTGTGTTGGAGGTAATGTCAAAGAATCCATACTCTATTTTAATTCAGCCAGTGCCAAAGCTGTTTAGTTGGAGAAAGATACACTTAGCCATCACATACAGACAGCCTGGGCCATGGGAGGGGCCTCTTTGGATTCTCTTTTCAAGACAAAGTAACTTCCAGAATATCCAGATGATAGACATGTTAGTTATTCCTCCCGATGGTTTACATATGATCACGAATCTAAACTTAGTCCAGGCATCTTATTAATCATAAGAATAGATGAGAATTATGGAGTAGATTAAAAATGTACCAAACCCTGTTCTAAATACTCTGCGTGTTAGTCCCCAAGAACACTGAATTTGTTTCTCTAATAGCCCTCATTTTATTGGTGAGGAAGCTGAAACATCAATACAAAGAGAAGTGACTTGTTCAAAGTCACAGAGCTACAAGGTGGGGGACCCAGATTTTGACTCCAGAGGTCCTGCTGCAGCCGTTTCCCACGGGAGTGTTGGGATTGATTTTAGGAAACGAACTTTTATCTCAGCAGGCAGAACACACCCCACTTTTTCCTTTAGTTCCCCCCAAATGAGGGAGAAATCTGAATTAGCAATGCTTATACCTAATGAGAAAAAAATTGCCAAAGTTGATTTAATTTTATAAAAAGCAAACGTAAGGGACACCTCTGGTGGTCCAGTGGTTAAGACTTCTTCTTCCAGGGCAGGGGATGAGGGTTCAATCCCTGGTTTGAGAACTAAGCTTTCCCGCGGCAGGAGCAGGTTGCAGGGGGTATGGTGGGTTATGGGGCAGCTAAGCCCCTGCAGTGCACCTACTGAACCCCCGCTACTGATCCCTGTGTCACAACTGAGACCCAGTGCAGCCAAATAAATAAATATTCAATAAACAAGCAAACAGAAGAGGCAGTGCAGTACAGAGATGATGTTCAGATCTGGTTTTAGAGGCAGATTGCCCGGGGTTGAATTCTAGGCTCTGCTCCTTAGTATCTGGAGCTCTTTTATCTGGTCCTTAACCTCTCTGAGTCTGCTTCCTTGTATGTAAAATGGGAATGAAGACAATGTCCACTTCACAGGCTGCTCTGAGGATGACATAAGATCATGTATTTATATGAAAAGCAAGCTAATAGGTTTTATCTCTGAGCAGTAAGTTGTTGTAGCCAAGGATGACGGTTGACTATTTAATCTTGGTGAGCATATGGCTGGTGTAACTCAAAAGTAAATATTTGAATCGTTCTCTGATAGGATGCTGGAGAAATGAACTCAGGGCTTTTTGTGCTGGATTCAGCTGTCAGGATAAGGATTTGATTTTCGATTGTCAGATCATCCTGTGCTTTTGCAACAGATAGAAGGTCTCTTTCTCCAAGGAGATTCTGCACATGCCTTATATATTTACCAAAGCTTGCCTAAAAATAATCATTAAAGCCATCCTTGGTCTAAACCTAGGAATACCACCCAGGAATGCCCTACCCTGCTGGAGTGAGGGCATTAAGGACATAAACACATGTGGGCTGTGTTGAGAGTTTCGGCCTCATCAGAGTGTGCAGGCTTAATGAGTCAGCCCTATAAACCACTTGGCACAGACCAGGTGAAAGATGAGAAATACGAGCTCTGATGCCTGTGATATACATGAAAAGCGAAATGCATGCTTTTTATCCTGCCTCATTCGGATGTACAGCCACAAGTGTCTCCACGGTCATTGTTAATGTCACCAGCTACAGATTTCCTGCCGGACACATGGCAGCCATGGATAATACTGACCTCAAGGAAGTTCCCCTACTCGGGCCGTTGCATTTTTAAAATCTATTGTTCCTTTTTAAAAAACATAAAAATACATGAAAATCTCACAAGTGATGCGTGAATACTGGCATTTGCCTTTTGAGGGAGAAAAGTATGTTTCAGAATGCTCACAATCTATATTGCAGAAAAATTTAATCAAGTATGAAATTTAACCAGATAAATCTGTCTTAACAGAGTTCTACTGTGAAATATCAACACATATGGGGGACTTCCCTGGTGATCCAGTGGTTAAAACTCCACACTGCCAGTGTAGGGGGCAAGGGTTCAATCCCTGGTTGATGAACGAAGATCCCACATGCCATGAGGTGCAGTCAATAAATAAAATAAAATTACTTTTGAAAAGAAATGTAAACAAGTAGGGACACGTGTGAAGAGAAAGTTCTGATTTTAAGATAAAACTGATTATTATGGAAGATTATAGCTTATAGGCTTGCAGGAAGGTCTACCTTCCCCAAACCGGAGGAAGCAAGTGAGTCGGCTTTGGTAAAAGCTACAGGGAAATGTCATTTCAGTTATTCAAGGAAGCTGCACAGATAGTGATTAAGAGCAGAAGCTGTGGATCAGGCAGACCTGGGCTGGAATTCCAGCAGTAGCTTAGTTCAGGAAGCTTTGGAAAGTAATCACTTACCTCTTCAGTTGGGCAGATGTCTGCATCTTTAAAATGGCAGTAGGAATCATACCTACCTTATGAACTAGTGTGTATTATTAGTGTAGGGTTGGTACCCAGGCATGCTTGCTTACCTGAGTTATTAATACATTCCCATGTGTATGTACCTATAAACCAGGTGCTACGCTCGCTTCTGTGGGATGTATATTTTGAGCAAGGCTGAGTCTGTGCTGGGGCCCTTCTAGGTGGCTCTAGTGGTAAAAAACTGCCTGCCAATGCCGGAGATGTGGGTTTGACTTCTGGGACAAGAAGATCCCCTGGAGGAGGGCATGGCAGCCCACTCCAGTATTCTTGCCTGGAGAATCCCGTGGACAGAGGAGCCTGGTGGGCTACAGTTTGTAGGGTTGCAAAGAGTCGGACACGACTGAAATGACACACACACACGACTCTTCTAAAGGGAAGGCTGACTTGCATGCTCATTCAGTGAGGCCTCTTGAAGAACCAAGACTGGCTCTTTCGAGTTAACTTTTTCCTCAATTAACTTCCATTTTGCAGAAAGAAGTGCTGTCCTGAGAATGGCCCTGTGTTTGGGGATGTGGTAGTTTGGTGAAATGTTTGAAAACACTGACTCCTGAGTTGAACTATTTTTGGCAATGGGGCCAAGATGGGTTTTCTAAGAGCAGTAAATAATTTGTGGAGAGGTTTGGACAATGACATAAAGCAGAACCTATTTTTCCTTTAGGACTATGGTGTATAACTAACTCATCTAGGGCTTGTTGAGGTTGTCCAGGAGGAATGAACCATAATGCACTTGTCAATGCTTTCAGTTAAATTTCTAGGCCAATCTTAGTTTGCATTTGGAATATGTTCTAATGGATTAGATCATTGGCAGAGTCAGGAGTTTCTGAGAACTGGAGTGTTTTTGCCTTGGGGTTTTCTGATCATGTGAATTACATGCAGGTTCTATAAAGGTCTCATGAACTACAGAGATAGCAACAACAACAGAGATAGCAACAACAAAAGATAGAGCCTTTTGATGAACACAAGTCCTGACATGAAGAGGTGCTGGCTTTGAAGTTTTAGATACAAGCAAACAGGATTCGAAACAAGTAATCTTAGGAAGCAACATACTTGAAACCCACGGCTTTCAAATTCATAGTGTTGTTCACCACACAATTTTTACTGTCATTGAAAACATTTAGGTCCCCAATTGCTGTAGAAAATTTTCAAACATCCATCTAAACTGTTTTACTGTACAGTTAAGAGAGAGACTTAGAGCAAGTTTGTGAAAAAGACCCAGAAAAACCTGCTCTATGAATAAATGTTAAAAGAAATACTTAGCTTGAAGGAGGGACTGGTGACATGGTGGAAATATATAATTTTTAGAGGATGTTGGCTGCCTGTCTCTCTGGTGAAGTCAACCCCCCCAGGAAATGGTTTGCATTTCAGGACATGGAAATTATTTGTGTGTGTATGTTGAGTTTAGATAGCACAACTTCTAGACAGTGAGGGTAGCTGATATACTAAACAGGAGTTACTAAGGGAAGAAAAATCCCTTTTTGCAAATCATTAAAAGGTAAGAGATACTCTCTCAAGGATTGAGACTCCAAAGAGGTTCTGGTCTGGTTTTGCTCAATTGCTTCTCTCTTTTAGCGTCAGCGGTTCCCCACCCTTACCTCCACTCCACAGCTTCTCCTGGCTGATTCATATTTCGTGTCAAAAATCAAGAGAAGGCAGGGGATGGGCACAGCTGCTGGTGTCCTGGGCTAGCGAAGCGGGTTATTTAAT